ATATATCAGCTACAATAAGGATGATATGAATTATCTGAATATTATCCTTTAGTTCTAATTTACAGAGTGCGTTGCCTTCTAAAGGGGAAGGATGTCAGTGAAATTGCAACTATGTTGACACATGAGCTTATATTTGCAGTTTTTAGTAACCTATGAAATGTATGAGGCCAGGTGACGGGGTTTCAAGTAACGCCGTAATATAACCTACTGCGTAGGTGCGGGAGCTGACGTCACGGTAGTTGCCTACATAAAAACATTGATGTGTCACAGCAAGCCTGCATATGTGAACTTGACAGTGACAGTGTTTGTTCCACGTCAATAGAAGGCATCTTCTTATTTTTTACACGTTGACACTAACTCCAATATATATGTTGGTATTTTTGTATTCTAATCAATTAGTTCAACGTTATTGGCACCAAATAACGTACATCTGATCTCAAATGGTATCGGCGGGTGTACTTAGTAATTTAATGTCATCTTATTGACTTGCTGATACCAGTCAATATCGTTACAATGTAATATTGCAGAAATCTTCATTGAATGAAAACGTAATACTATTGTGATGTGACGACATTCGTTTAACGGGGCTTTAAAATAATGGTCCTACAATTATTTGACGAAGGATTACCTCAATGAACGTAGTTTCTTTGATAGGTTTGTTCTGCCTGTGGAATCAATGAGATGTCAAAACCTATAACCGTATACCAACAATCTCATCACATTAGTCTACATGAACTTCTAATATCACTAGTAGTATATTTAGAATATTTACTAGTTGCAGTTGTTGGATCATTTTACTACGAGGTATGTGAGACTGATATGGGATTGTAAGCTGTAGGAAGGTGACACTAACTACCTCCAGTGAATTAGCAAGGGAAGGCTTAAGACATTTGATAAGAGGAGTACTTTTGTAAATCACTACTTCAGCAAAATAACGTTAGGTAGTAACACGTAAGTAGTTATTATAGCAACAATTTTGCGATGGATTTGAGCATTACAGTGGTAGTTAGGCCACCTTTGTGATTCCACGGTTAGTACGATTACAGTGCGGTTATCACTCTACATTACTCTGATTGTGATTACACTAGAGGTGGTATGTTGGTAGAAGACTAGGTATAAGTGTGGTACTGATTACAGTCAATACATGTAGTATGACAATGAATGAATAATACATATGCAGGGGATAGTAGATACACAGTGAATAGTTAATTTATGAATTTTGATAGAACAGTCAGATTGGGGATGTAGAAGACATAGCAGAAGTATATTACCTTGACAAACAATGATTCTGAATATTAATAGATGTTACTCATTAAAAAGTGTTATATGTGTTAGATTATATGAAGAATTGAAGGTGTTATCATTTCGATATAGATAACCCAGCAAGTATTCCACCTTTACTTTAACGCTAGGGGATGGATTAAACCCATTTAGTGGATAATGTGTAAATTATGTGTATTACTATGTGTAATTACAGTCGAGGATTGATGATTTTTCTATAAAACAAATGGGTTGCTAATAATATCAATAATATTATTAAGATTTTGTCTAGATGGTAGATGACACGAGGGTCGCTTTTGATAGGGCTGTGTAGCCGTGGCAACCCAACATCGTGCAAGACACGGATTACCTTCATATTATATAATAAAACAAGATGTGGCAATAACAGAATAAGTTCTTGGAGTTATACTCCAAAATGTACATTGTTTACACCGTTAATACATTGCCAAAGCGCTGTATTAATGGGTAGTGTAGGTGGCAGTCTGGGAAATACTAGGCGACAACTACTGTAAGATTCGATAAATTGTAAAAAGTGAAATGTAACATGCTATGTTAAGTATTTTGTGATATTAATGACTTTTGATCTGCTTTTACATGGGATGTTCTCAATAGGATTCGGGGCGTACACCACTACTAGACATTCTATGAGTCACAGGAGGATGTAATTCTTCCCGTGATGGTATGAGTTCTATATAATGACTTGTACACTTAGAGGTAGTGAAATTACTTCAAACATTATGATGACCAACTGGTCTGTCGACGCCGGATGGTGTGACAACTTGAAATTGATTACAGCCACCTCGATTTAATAATGAAGTGTAGAAATACGTTCGACCAATGTTTCAACGACCAACCGGAGAATGTTGGTGGTTGTTGGTAGTAAATAGCCATGGTATATACTGTTCTAAATGTTTATTTTTTTGGATCACGTTGTACGAGATCGTTTGTCTACAAGAAGCTAAAACAGATTTCAGCTTCGGTAACATGCTAGAGGTCATCTATAAATCGACGAAATGATCTCTGCTGTTGTTTCGATAACGCAAAATATGTAATCCCTTCTGCCATGTTTTGTTATTTTGGGGGTTAGGGATTTGAGAGAATACGGGTCTCCCATATCTCCAAGTTATTTCACATAGACAAGGGGACATTGTGGATACGTAGAGGGTGAATAGCTTTGCGTTATGTAAGTGATGGTGATGCTTGCGCCACCCTTGCTTAAGTTTCATCGTAAAGGTGTGAAAAGTGAGAAATAATGATGGCACATGAATATCAATGCCGTGATGGGAGCCAATGAAGCTAGGATGCACACAACTGTGGGACCTGCCGCTATCACAAATGTATCTACCATTTATGGAAAGTCGTGAAACTGTGACTAAACCAATACCGTCATCTCGCATTTACCACGACCTTGGTATTAGTGAAAATATATTGGTAAAAATCTCTAACGAATGCCAAATGTGGTTCTTCTGACGAGAAGACCTCCGGTAATGTGGTTGGCAGCGCCGATAAATTGTCAGGAAATGTGTCGGACACAGCTAGCTGAAGTCTACTCTTTGGTTTTCTATAATCCTCTGTATGGTGGATGACAACTAAAGTCACAACACGGACGTCATAACATGGCGTTTGTGGTAGTTGCGGTACAATTGGCGACTTTAACGGTGTTTTATACGTCGAACAGTACTGATTGGATGGTGAAAGGTATATCAAGCCCCTGAGGGGGGTGCGATGTAATGGCGGTTGTGGACGGTGACCGTGAGCGTGGCTACGTGACTAAGCCGGTACACTCTGTAGCATTCTGTAGAGGCTACGTCAACTAAATCGAAATGCTGAACATTATGTTTCAGAGTATAATGGCAGTTATGTGGAGGTTTGAGGCTATTCTGAGGCTCGTAGGTGGGGTCTAAGTGTAGACATGCTGCACAACGTGCCCGGTGGGTCATATAACGTAGTATAGCACAAATGCATTTTATGTAGCCCCGGAGCCCCCTTGATGTGATAGGCGTGTTAAATTGGTGTGAGAATGAGAGAGTTGTGACTGTCGCCGTTGCATGATTCAATCTAAAGCTTCTCGAAGTACTAGTTGCAGCAATACTACAATTATCACTACTGAAATATATAACAAGTCTCTTCCGTTTTCCGCTATGTCAACAACATTCTTGAGTCTCCTAACATTGCTATCTCTGGCGGTAAAAGGGGATGGCGTGGAAACCATTGGTGAGGCACACCATAGGATGCCAGGAGCATTTAGGGAACAAACGTCATTTGAAAAACTTAAAGGATCCCAGAAGATATGTGTCATACTGGGTATCCTCATAATTACTGCCATAGTATGTGCGATCATTGTTGGAATAGTCAAAAAAGATAGCAATACACTCTACTTCATCATCCCTGCTGGAATCCTTTTGCTAGTGGGAAGTTTCTGCGCATCACACTATCTGGGACCTACAGAGGTTGGATTCACTAAAGAGGAAAAAATCTTAGGTGCAATTGGATTATTGGTGTTATTTAGCATCTGCGGTCTCACCATTTTCGGTGTGTCCAGAAATTACAATAATGTGGAGACATATTTCCCCACCATGGGAACTTTAGCATCCATTTCCCTAGTCGCGTTAGTCATATATTCTGCGTACATCGTACGATACCAACCGTTTGAACCTCTCCTTAGAATGATTTTTGGTGTTAGCGGTGTTCTCTTACTTTCAGGTTGCATAGGTCTAGCTGCCGTGCTCATAAATTATCATTACAGTCGCCAACCTTCTGGTGCCAACGCGAGTATTATTCTCTCCGTGTTCAACGTTGTCTTGCTGGTTGCTGTGCTCTACTTCGCCTATCGCATAGGCCTGCTCGACTCTACCGTCTTCAATAAAGATAGAAGTGTAGCATTGGGGTATTGTATCGCTCTGGTGATTTTCATAGGCTTGGTTGTAGCATTGGTATATATGTTTACTGGTAAAAAATGCGAGTGTAGTAAACGTCAGTGTCAATGTCTTACCGGCGATAGTTGTAACTGCAATGGCAAGTGCAGCATTAGGTGTGGCTGTACCGATTGCAGTTGTAATAAGCTCCCATGGTACGTTGGCTTAGCTGTAGGCCTTGGTCTCCCTGCCTTGGTATTTGTATTTTACTTTTTCTATGGCTACTTTCAATTTGTACGCCAACACGAAAGCTTAACGTAGTTCACCTTTAGCCGAATAGCATGGTACCAGAGTTGTAAAGTACTTCAACTCCCGTTATTAAGTTGCAAGTTTGTGTTTCCGTGTTGTAACAAGTGATCGGCTTCGACCTGACATTTGAGGTAATGGGCTCTGCCCATTCTGGAGGGTAATCCAGGGATTTCGTGCAATGGACGAACAGTATTCTAGTTAGTAAAACGTTATAAAACTTAACAGTGCATAAGTGTAATATATGAACTGCTCTACGGCTTAAAAGTTTATTCGGTGTCTGTAATGGTTAGCCAATGGACCATTGATGTATAGCGTAGAAGGAAGTTCTAAAAATCAAAGCGATAGAGATCGAATATAGCACGTTTTAATGGTTCCAGCTGGAGAATATCGTGTTTTTTTCATACGTAGAATGTTGCCGAAAACGTTGAAGGTGTACAACACATTCCTTAGCAAGACTCAATGGAATGTCGGTGGCATACGAACAATTCAACGTGACGTTCGACTTCCATAAGCTCGGAGGGAGCGTTACGAAACAGATCAAATTCCACGCCAGAGGCTCAGTTGCCATTCAGGCATTCTGTAAGACAATGTATAACGCATTTTACGTTAACGAAAAGTATTACGTTGGCACATTGGTACGGCGCGTTGCCCGGAAACGTATCCGTGTCTATAATCGTATACTTAGCACATTTATCTAGCTAACATGGCATCTTTGCGGCACTGTGCAGTTCAACGTAGAAAAATGACCTTGAGAGGGTTCTGTTCATAGCAATCTACTGCAGTAGATCTGCTCGTCACAGTCAGATGATGTTACAGTAATATTAAGAGCCATATAGACTTATGTCGATCAATATAAATCCTTATTACTTAATTTATAATTGTAATATTTTAGATGCATGTCATTGGTTCGGGGAGCCCTAGCGACACGTGCACCGCGAATCATCGGCGATGGAGAGATCTATGCGATACCTCATGGTTCAATAATCAGGATCATATCTGGTTTCTCTTAGTAATATATTCTATTGTAGGTATTCCAATGTCTTCCTGAAGCACACGGCAATCCCGACACATGCCGAGTGTCTAGAATTTCCCCTTTTCTTTTCTTCTCACTCTGATTCCTGTCTCACAATTAACAATACGTGACACGTTTCGTTCATAAATGGTCTACAGATCATACAGAGTCTATATTATTATTTGTTAAGGCAATTTGCGGTGTCACTATAACGGCAGCACCCAAGTTTTTTCAATTATTCGCTGCCTTCTTGGCATTCGTCCATATCGTCGCTGGTAATGACGTAGAAGGTGAAAAGGTTGATGTACCCGAAACTGTTGCTGTACCTGAAGCTAGTGAGACTGTAGGTTGAGGAAAGCCAGCCTGCACAAGATGTCTTGGTATTTAATGAGCGTGCCTCCGATCGTGTTAAGCAGCTCATCGCCATGCTTCCCTCTCACGTGTCTAAGCATTTCGACCCGGATGCAAAGAGCATGTTGCCTGCACGCCTTGCTGAGGAGCTTGCCGCTCTCGAGGATAATAAGATTACTCGGGAACAGGCAGAAAGTGTTGCTAGGTACCTCCTCAAGGAGTACACCAGGATCATTATCAACGATCCCGCTCGGATGCCTAACACCCGCGAACTTCGTCAATACCTTG